GGGACCACATTAGCCAGTTTCCAATCCCCCAGCACCTGGCCAGATGACCACAAATGCTCACACAGCCCGGCCAAGGGCTTCGCGATGACCCCTGCCAGCTCCGTCAACACCCTTGGGTGGAGGGCATCTGGACCTGCAGATTTAAAAATGTCTGGCCCTTCCAGAAGATCCCTAACTACATCTGCACTGACTGAAGGCCTGATAGAGCTATCCCCAAGATTATCCCTACCTCTGGGGATGTCCCGGTCCTTGTTCAAGAAAACAGAGGCAAAGAAACTGTTAAAAATATCAGCTTTCTTGTCTGGCATAGCCACAAGATTACTGTTTGCATCTTGCAGGGGCCCTATATTGCCTGATGTCCTCTTCTTGCTCCCATTGTACTTGAAAAAGGACTTTTTGTTGTCCTTAATCCTGGACGCTAGCCTGAGTTCCATCTCTGCCTTGGCCTTCCTAATAGCCCTCCTACACTCCTGGGCAGAGGAGTACTCCTCCTTGGTGATAGTTCCTCCCTTCCATGGGTTGTACACCCCCCTTTTAGTCCTCAGGCATTGCTGAATGCCCTTGCTGAGCCAAGGGGGTTTCTGAGCACTCTTACCCACTTTGCTTCTCTCAGGGACTGTTATCCTTTGGGCCTGGAGGATTGCCCCTTTAAGGTACGACCATCCCTCGTGGACTCCCATATCTCCTCTACCTTCTGGGCCCTCAGTGCCTCCCCCACTAGTCTCCTAAGATCATTGAAGTCGGCCCTTCTGAAGTAAGGGCTTTAGCCTTGGTGTGAGCCCTAGATGCCCTGCATTGGATAGTGAAATCCAGCAGGTGATGATTGCTATTGCCCAGGTGGTCAAGGACCTGCAGTCCCCTCACCAGTTCATCCCTCGTGGCCAGGACCAGGTCCAGCAAGGCTAACGCCTTGGGGGGCGTGCATAGTGGGGCTGTGCACTTCCTGGATAAGGTGAAGGTCCTGTAATATAGCCAGAAACCTAAGTGAGCGGTCAGACCTGGCTGTCTGCTCCTCCCAGCAAATGTCTCAGTAGCTTAGGTCACCCATGACAATAACATCCCTTGACCTAACCGCCTCCATAAACTGACTGGAGAAGTCCTGGTCCAGCTCTTCCCCCTGGTTGGGTGGTCTGTAGTAGACACCCACCGTAAGGTCCCTTTCGCCACGCCCCCCTTGTAGTTTGACCCATAGTGTCTCTGTCCGACCCTCCTCTAACCTGAAGCTAATCCCTGATGATGTGAGGTGCTCTTTGACATAGAGAGTAACCCCCCCCCCACCTTTCTTTTCTGTCCTGTCTCTTCTATATAGGGTGTACCCCTGAATGCCCACCGCCCAATCATAGGTAGGGTCCCACCAGGTTTCTGTGAGCCTTCGGATCTCTCCCATCAGAGAAGTCACTCTTCATTGCCACTGACATGAATGAAATATAATTTTATACACAGTGTTGATATATTCAAGTTCCCATAGTAAAATAATGGGAATGGGCAGGACTTAACATCTCTCATTATTTTCTTCTCACTTGCTGATCATTTACCAAATTCTCTTTTCCTTTTTGCCACCCTTAATACCTGACGCACAGTCTTTCCTTAGAGGTGCTTTTCTTTTCTCTCATGCACTGAGTCTGTGAAATTAAATTAAGAACATGCCTGTGCTAAGTTGGCAGTAGGAGTTTCAAACTTTCATTTAAAAAAATCAGTTCCCCATATTGTCTTTTAAGAAATAAAATACAAGTGAAGGGCCTACGGCCAAAACCTAGTGAGCTCAATGCCTGAATGGCTTTGGATCAGACCTTAAGAGAGTATCCAGTCAGATGATGGTTTTAAAATTGTTTTTTCTGTCTCCCTCTAAATATTTTTTAGCGTTTCATTTTGTATTAAGCTGCTTCAGGAACACTAAGCACACAACAATGGCATATTTCAATACAAACTGGAAGAACCACTTAGGAACTCCTCAACTCTGTTTCACATACACCAGCTTTGTCTGCATAGGCCCAGTAATTCATCTCTAGTGAACTGCAGTGCATCTTTACAGGCAGTATCAACACCATTTTCCCCAAGGAAGTTGCACAGGAAGTGAATGACAGCTAGACAGCTAATGAGAGGATGCTTACTGTGACGGATAGTGACTGTCAACACTGGATCATTCTCCTACAATGGCAATTGACTCCACAGCAATCAGTGCTTTGGTTTGTGTTAGGTCAGTTCAAAACAAACTCAGTTCTTATTTATAATAAGAAAACTGCAACAAATGTGTTCATCAATAGTTTCTGAATACAACTGCTACATAAATCAGCCTAGGCACAGGCCCTGTCTACACTAATAGTTGTTCTAAAAATTTCTCACTATGATGCCACAGCAGGTATATCAAATACTAAATATCTCTATTAAGAACTGTTGTATATTTTGTTGTTAAGTAATAAATTGTATGCCTGTTGCTAGATATTCCATTTGTCTGTAAAACTGACACGATTGCTCCATCATAAAGTACTATAACATTAGAAATGTGTGTTCATGATCAAGTGTGGGATATATTCATAAAGCTGTAATTAGGTAATGAACGCTTAGTGAAGTGTATAGGCTGACAAGGTCTTTAGACCAACACAGTTACAACCTATACTACTGAAGTGTATTTTTCTTTTAGCACCAGTCTACAATTTATCACAAGTGCGTTTTTTAGACTTAGCGTTATCTCTTGCAATTGTATGAGAATCGAGTTCATTTAACTGTAAGGTTCATTAATCAAAAGATATATTACTCTCCTCCACCTTTCTCATTATTCTCATCCCCAAACCTGCTCTACACTGCTGCAAAGATCTGACCAGCAGTGGGACATGAACCATGCACTATAATTAAACTTTTCTCAAGGCACTATGTGACAATAAATCAGTATGTTACATTACTACTCCATATATCTTTATTACTACTGTTTAAGTTTGGTCTCATTATTCTCCGATAATGAAAAGCCAACAGTATATTTAATCAGTGCAGAGTCAACATACTGAAACGGTCTCATTTGTTAAGAGCCACACAGCCCACCTTCCTTTGGCTCAAAGGCCCTGATTTAAGACAGGATTCACACTCCTTAATCACTGAGCAGGCAAATACTATCTGACTAACACTGTGTTATAGTACTGTTCTCAGATAGGATGAAGGGAGGGAGTTAGTTGGCCTGCACATCCACTAAATTCATTGAAATCTTAGAAGAAGAAAGCGTGCAGTCTGAAAAAAATGGGATCTAAAGCTATCTAATTTCAGATTACAACCCAACTGCCTTCAAAGGTAGGGCATTCGGTTCTTACCTGTTCGGATGTCAAAGCCTTCGGGCTGAGTCAGGCCATCAATGATCAACTGAAGTGTATGTACTGTTGTGTTTAGCATTTTTGCTGCTCCTTCTGTTCCTTCCTTTTGAATTACTGAATTTACTTTTTGTTGCATGTCAGGTTTTCCTATATCATTTGGATTTCCTCCAGTGAATGTTAAAAACCTTGCAAGTTAGAGAAAGAGAGAGATAGAGAAACCCCATAAAAATCAATAGAGTTATTTGTAATATTTGTCAGTGAAGACTGAAAGCTTGCCAAATGTTAAGTTTCACTTATTTTTGATGAGGCACAGGCACAACCCCCTCTTCTCCAAACCCCCTCCCCATTTTATTGCTTTATTTATTGTTTTTTTAAACATTACATTTTACATTTATACATTTTAAAAAAATGTATTTCCTAAGCGTATAACCAAACATTCCACATTTTTCTATTTGCCTTTGGACTAAGACCAAACTTGTAGTTTCAGCCTGAAAAGTATCTTTCTGGAGAAGGTTAAGAATGACTGAAAACAAAGGCTCAGATCAGAAGCTCTATACAGTAAATAACCCTAGTTCTTTTAGCTTTTCCTTGTAAGTTTTGCCTCCCAGGTACCTACTTGTTTCTGTTTGGATTCTTTAGTACTGAAGCCTGGCCAGTCATGCCAGTCTGCAGTTGTGCATGCAACTACTACATCCCAAGTGCAGGATTTTGCACTTGTCTTTGTTGAACCTCATCTGATTGATTGCATACCATTTCTCCAGATTATCCAGGTCATTCTGGATCCTAACCCTACCCTCCAGAGCATCTGCAACTCTACTCAACTGGGTGTTTTCTGCAAATTTACTAAATGTGTACTTGATCCCAGCATTCAAATCATTAATGAAGATATTAAAACAAATGGAACTCAGGGCAAACCCCTAGAGAACTCTACCTGATACCTTCTGCCAACTAGCCATTGATGACCGCTTGTTGAGTATATTATTGATCCAACTTGTTATGGATCCATCTTACAGTACATACTTACTTTTGCCAGTCTGTATTTCCTTAGCTTTTTTAATGAAACAGTGTCAAAAGCATTGTTAAAGTCAAATATACCAGCATCCACTGCTCTCTCCACATCCACACAGCATGTCCCTTTACCATGTGAGGAAATCAAGAAATCAGTGGTGAATCCCCACTGGCTGCTCCTGATTATTTTATTCTTCTCTAGGTGCTTAGATTCCTTGAGGACCTGCTCCATGAGCTTTCCAAGTATCAAGGTCTGTAGTTTCCAAGAGATTCATCCTTCCCTTTCTTAAAGATGTATGTTTCGTATTTTCTAGCATCATCTGAGGCCCAACCTGATTTCCATGAGTTCTCAAAGGGGATATCCAATGGCTCTAAAACTACTTCAGCCAATTCCTTCAGTACCCCAGGGTACATCCTATCCAGACCTGCCAACCTGAAAGCATCTAGGTCAGGGGCAGGCAATTATTGGGGCCCAGCTTGAAAGCATCTAGGTCAGGGGCAGGCAATTATTTGGGCCCAGCAGCCACATAAGCAGTTCTGGGAGCTACCATGGGTTGGTCAGCACCCCACCCCTCCTGCCCACAACAGCCTGAAGCCCATGCGCCCTGCAGCTCCTCCCCGCCAACAGCACACAGCTCCAACTCTGGCCCAGCCCACACCCACTCCAGACTTACCCTGGCCAGAGCAAACCAGCGATAATCCGTGTGCACAGCCCCGAACCTGGCTCACCCTGCATCTGCTCCAGATGTGCCCACCCACGCTGCACAGTGGCAGCAGCCAGAGAGAAGCTGCTGTTCAGTGTGGAGGAAAAGCGGCCCCTCTGCCTCACTCCCCCCAGGCATGGGCTCAAGGCGGTTGCAGCAAGAAGGGCCTGGCAGCAGCGAAGGGGAGGGGCCACTTTTCCCCCACACTGAGCAGCAGCTTCTGCCCAGCCACTATTGTTGGTGCCACTGCTCAGTGTGGGCAGGTCAGTCTGGAGCCGGTGCAGGCTAGCACGTGGGCCAGGCAGGACTGAAGGACCCACCATGGGCCAGATAAAGCCCCTCTGCTGTGTTTTGCTCACCCCTGATCTAGCTTCTCTAAGTAGTACCTAACATGTTCTTCTACAACTCTAAGCTGTTTGTCTCCTTCCCTATCATTGCTCCCAACTGCACTCATCATCCGGTGGCTGCCCCTATTTGTGAAAATGGAAGTAAAAAAGACCTTAAATACTTAAGCCTTCTCTGTATCCATAACTAGATTGCCTTCTGCCAGGGGCTAAGCTACCAATGGGCCCTGAGCTGTGGGGGGCCCTGGACCTTCCTTCCATAGCGGCGGCACCCTCTGGGCAGCACCCGCCTGCTAGTAGACTACCCAGGCAGTGCCGGGGGGTGCTGCCACCATGGAGGGAAGGACCAGGGCCCCTGCAGCTACGGGTTGCTTGGCCACCCAGCAGCTCACCCCCTGGCTGCGGAAGACACCAGCAGGCCCATGGGGGGGGGGGGGGGGGGGGAATAAAAATCAGGCCCCTCAGCATAACGGCGATGGAAGCCCCTAAATTGAAACGCTGTTTTTTTTTAATTTTAGCAATTAAAAACCCACTGTTTCAATTTAGGGGACTAAACCCCCGTCATGTGTACAAGTGTCCTTCAACTCTATCATGTTGTGGTCACTGTCACCCAAGTTAACTTTCACCTTCACATTCTCAACCGAGTCCTCCGTTTCTGAGCAGTAGGTCAAAAAGAACTTCCCCCTACCTGGCCTGCCTACCAACTGTATAATAAAGTTACCCTCACATAGTCTAGGAATTTGCTGGGCTGGTTGTGCACTGCCGTGTTTCCCTTCCAGCAGCTGTCCTAATAACTGAAGTCCCCATGAGAACCAAGTCATACGATTTGGAAGCTTGTGTCAGTTGTTTAAAGAAGGCCTCATTCATCTCCTCCTGCTTTATAGGCCTATAGCTGACACTCACGAGCTCTTCCCTGACTTTTACCCAAATGCTTTCAACAGGACTACATTCCAGTTTATACTGCACCTTGGGACATGTGTGCATCACCGTTATATATATGGCAACTCCTCCTCCTTTTTTGTCTGGCCTCTCCTTCCTGGACAAGCTATACCCATCCATGACAGCACTCTAGTCACATTAATAATTATAGTCAATAATAAAAGTGCATACACCCTTACCAAAGCTGCTGGGCAATCAATTACATAATATGACACGCACACTCTGCATGACAGAATAGCTTGGATGTCAATAAAACCAACCCTATTTCTTAAAATGCATCAAAATCTATTTTAGCAGCAACAATAGCTAAATGTCAATCAACTGGAAAATGAGTTGTTTTTAAATTAATATTGTGAGAACAGGGAGGCACCACTCAATAGGCTGAGCTACATAATAGTTCTCAAATGGAGCAATCTGTCCTTTTCTCAGAGCTAGATGCAACATACGCCACCTAGTTTGGACAGTGATGTAACTGGGAGTGGGGAAAGGATGGGGAGAAGGGGCACCAGCCCCAAGTGCCAACTATGACGGGGCACCAGAATCCCCCTGGGAATCTTTGACAAAGCAGCAGCACTCTGCATTGCCCAGCCACAGGAACCAGGCAGTTCAGCCCTGCACCCAGCAGTGTAATTGGGGGTGGGGAAGAGAGTGGAACTGTGCTCCTCCCACCCCATCCCACCCAAGGGAGTCTGTGCCATATAGCAGGCTATAGCTGCCTTGAGTATGCAGAGAACCTGGTAGGTGAGACTTGCCTTCCTTTCACCTCCTCCCACCCCTCTCTATTGTGGTAACCTGCACCCCCCTCCTCCCACAAACCCTGGTACTGAATGAGCTTGTTGCACCTCTGAATCTGGATATTCAGTAAGAGACTTATTCCACTGAACAGTATGGTATACCAACATGACTTTATCAAAATTGACAGTCTGTCCTTTATGAAGTTGCATGTCAACAAAATGGGAAAGCACAAGATGCTTTCCATTTACCTTGCATATGTTCTGCACAGCAGTCAGGCATGACTGCAGAGAAGTGTTCTCTCCATACCCTTCCCCATGTGCCCCATACCTTGTGCCACCTCTAAACTAGTGAGAGAAGTGAGAGTATACTGCAAGTCATAAAGGGGAGTAGAGCAAACAGGTACATCTACTGAACACCAGAGAGTTGTAAGCATCTAAGCTTTCAGAAATAGAAAGCCTTCCGGCATTGCCTTAAAGCCGTACACCTCCATTCTGTTCCAAATGCAGTGCTCTGCCTTCAAGGCAAAAGCGAGGTAAGTATTTTATTTGGCAAGAAATTTTGTGCTACTTCTACTTGAGGGGTCTCTTTGACAACATAATTCATGTTCTCTTCCCACTGTACTGTATCTACCTTTGTACCCAGTTTTCAGCCATTAAGAAAAACTACTGACTCCCTTCCCTTGGAACCAAATATATGGTATCTCTGTGGTGCAACTATCAACTAAAAAAGAAAGTTTACCATATTCCTTTTGCTTTTGTTTTAAGAGGGGCATGCTTTTGTTTTGATCTAATTACTGAATAGAGTTACAAATCATAAATTAATATTCATCATGGGAATAACTTATTTTTCCTTTCAGAAAATGAGAACAAATGTATAGTTAACTCACATAGTTCACCAATCTTTGGTTAAGGGGTACTTTATCTGTTAAAATAATGCTCCTTGCGTCACAAAAGTGGCTTAATTAAGCAAGTAGTGTAAATTAATCATTCCTGTCCAGTTTTTTGTCACAAGACTTCAGCACATAAGATTGCTGCAAATGAAAAAGATTAGATAAAAAAAAATTCTGCTTTTCGCTTTCCTTTTACATCTGACAGCAGTTTAAGTATTTCCCTTTTATAGTGAGGGTCTATTACACACTGTCAGGATATAGAAAGTATTTTTAAAACAATGAACGTATTACAATAAAACCACAGAAAACTGGCAAAAAGTTTCAGGGGCAGGCACTGGTCTGGAAGACGCCTTACATTTTTTTCTTAATTGAACAGATTTCAAGTTTTGCTGTTACTTAACTATTTTAAAAGACTTTTTGGCTCGTCAGATATAAATATCAAATAAAAATGTAAATATCAAAACAAATTTAAATATATCATTATTACTGTGACCCCATTTATTTTAAAACATATTAATTTAAATAAATACTGGTGGTAGACTAATAAATTCACCTAATCTACAGGC